GCTCTAATGCCCAGTTGCTCTTTCCAGTGATTGTTGGATATGCTCTTGGTTATAAGATGGTGCTGCAGGGTTGGAGAAATCTTTAAAATTCCAAATGCTTGAAACTGGGCATTTGGATCTGGAAAATTCAAGATGGCACTTCACCAGAGAAATCTTCCTTCCAAGCCCAATAAACAAATTCATACATCTTTTTTTTCTAACACACAGATGCTTTGTTTAGCCCCATACTCATGGTGGCAATGGCATCTAGTTAGAAATAGATTGATAAAATCTGTAAAGTATGGAGTTATAGGTATTTCAAAGTCAAGTAGCTTAACTTTCTCCTGGCTGTTGAGGAGTGCTTAAATGGCTTCAGGGGTCTCCATGGCGATACAACGTTTTTTAAAGAAGTAATCAAATATGAAAGACTTACACCCGGAAATCTAAGTCAAAATTCTATGGCTCTATAAACATAACACAAATATATTAATTTATTGAAATTACTGAGTTGATTTGTTGGCCCTACAGTTCAGGTAGAAGAATCTTTATAGTTCCCTGAATAATAAAGTGAATTCTGGTTAAATTGATAATGTTGAAAATAGCTGCTTAGAGTAAAATCCCTTATGAGGCTAAGTCTCTAGTAGTCTGAATATGGCTTCTTTGTGCACTGTTATACCTCTCTGGGTCTGTTTGATGATTATATTGTGAATTTTTTGAGATGTACTTTGCTGATGGATATAGACAGCATAAATAAGAATACCTCTTTTTTAAAACTCAGACCAAAAGTATACAGCTTGTAAACTGAAGCTTAAGTGAATCAAACTATTCCTTTCTTGGCCAGGAGTTGTCACTGAGTTCATTTCATTGTAATGCTTCACAGGTGAAAGTAAAATCTCTTTATGACAAACTGATGGTTTTCCTTGTAGGCGAATTTGTTATTATATTTGACTATACTGCTAGAAATGATATTACCTGTCCAAAGAAAATGTGGATGGATTAAATTTGTCCAGGTTCTCTGTAGAGGATTAACAAATGTGAGAATGTGATATGAGAATAGTAAACGGAAAGAATGACCCCCCTTCTCTCCCTCTTCTGACTGCCATTTCAGTGCCAACGGAATTCTAAACCTTGGGGCTTCTCTGATATTATTTGTGCTTTCTTCCATTTTACCTCTACTATTTTTTCTCAAATACTCTCATTTTCTTTTCTTCCTATTATTAATGATTTTTATCTGTGATCTCTTGTGCCACATTATATTTTTCAAGACTGTGACTTCTTGAAAGGAGAAATGACAGTGTAATTGCATGTTCTTTGAGCAATATCTGCATAGCATAGTGCCTAATAAGTATTTATTAGCTAAATAAATGAGCTATTAGTATGTGAATACACAGTAATTTTGTTACATGGAAACTTCTTAGTAATGTATTATCTGCCTTTTTATTTTACTACAGAAGACTTCTTTGTGTATATTTTAAAGGAGAACAACTTTATCCTGATTTCCCTTCTCTTCAACAGAATAGGTGTAATTGCAAAATATGCTTCATTGCAAAGTTTTGGTGCTCATACATTGCTTTTCATTATTGTGCTGGCGTCTAACTGTGCATGCTTCATTGCCCAAGCTGTCACCACTAATGAAGAAATACTTGTGAACAGTAGTATGGGCCATGTGCTCTCTCTTGTCTACTGACTGAAAAAAGTGACTACTGCTTCCTGAGTGTTTACCAGCATGATTTTTCTTTTATTGCCTGACTTGAGTATAATATGGATATACTTATGTATTTCTATCCTCTGAGGGTTCTAGATAAGTGTCATCTATACGGAATACAACTTCCATGTCTTAGAAATGACTCAGCCTAATATTTATTGGAAGAATTCAGGTTTCTCAGTTGAACAGCTGAGTGAAACAAGTGTAGGATTTATTACAAACAAAGGAATGTGGTTTATGATTCCTGAGAGCTGTGGAATTCCCAGCAATATGTGACAAGGATGCAAACTGAGCCTGGGCACCTTTGTAGCCTGGAGAGAAGGACAAACCCACATGCGCTGTATCCCCTGTCACTGATAAGCATCCTGTAGGACTTGGTCCATGCAAATTCTGTCTTCTAGAATTCCTTTTCCATAGCTATTTTTTTTTCTTTGGTTTTTTGAGACAGAGTCTCACTATGTAGTTGAGACTGATCTGGAATTCACTGTGTAGCCCAGGCTGGTCTCGAATTCACAGCGATCCTCCTGCCTCAGCCTCCCGAGTGCTGGGATTACAGCTGTGCACCACCACACCCAGCTCCATAACTTTTGAAATGAGAAGCCTCAATGATATGAAAACAGTTAAGGAATATGCTTGTCTTTGAGTTAATAGCAAGCTAAATTTTCAAGTCTTTTCATATGCTTAATTCTCAGAAGCGATTGTTTTTTGTGCTTTGCTTCCTTTTTTGGTCTCCTGATGCAGACGTCCAGGAGAAAGAAATCCAAGTTTGGTGAAAGTATAATTCAGATGTAGGAAGAAGCATTTTGACATTTTAGTATCTCCCCTTATTAGTAAACTGGCATTTTAGTGCATAAATGCACTTGGGGTTTCCAAGTATCTGATTTTTTAGCTAAAAATACTGTTTTTGAGCTTTCTGTCAAGAAAACATATTGAGAAAATGTCAGATGCACAAATGCCTAGTATTTCCCCATTAAGAATGCTTTCTTATTACCATGTTGTGCTCTAACCTTTATGTATTTCTGCTCATCCCCAACATATGAAAAATATGCCACAAAGAAGCTATCATGGGGCAAAGAGCCTTTGAATCTTAAGAGTCCTCTCTGGCGCAAGGCATACCAAGTAGGCAAGTTACGCAGAAATGCTGCGTGGTTTCTTTTTATTTATGCACAATTTGGACATTGCTGTTCTTTGCCTAGGGATTATATTTCTGCTGTATCAAAATGATCTTGTTGGTAAGGGATACTTGGAAACATTTTCAAAAAAGCATGGCCACTTTAATCAATAATTTAAAGAATTAATTTAGTACTAAAATTCCTTACAGAAAAAAATGTATGATAAATTTTTCAGCATAAAATTTACATTCCCTTAGTGGAAAGGCTATTTTCCAGTAAATGTAGTCAATAAATTTATCTCTGAAAGCACAAATGTGTACACAAGAACCCTCAAACATCTGGTGAAGTAGTTGCCTTGACAAAAGCCATAATATAGTGCTTTTGAGGTTGGTAAACCATGAGAAACTTCTTTTTCAGATAGAATTAAAGTATTTTTGTTGTTACCAAAGAAAAATGACATCAAATTTTGTTGACTATTCAGTGTCTCTTAAAGAAAAACATTGCAAGTTTGCTTAGAGCTCATTAATATAATTTGCTTATAGGATAGTGTAACTTCAAGCAGTTCTTTTGGATTTCAAATGCAGGCGGCAGAGTATGGCAGGTTAATCTTGGTACACAGATAGGATGTGCTATGAAAGATCATCTTCTGTTTGGTAAGAGTTAGGTGTTGGTGTACTTTGTCTGCAATAAGCCAGGTAGTAAATATTCTAGATTTTATGGGCCATGCATTTTGATATTTCTGATTATTTATAAATTGACCTTTTGGTTTATAGATAAACCCAAGTTGAATATTTTTTTCATAATGATGTGACTGTGTCATTGTAGTGTGAGAGAAGCTTGGACAGTGCAAATGAGTATGGTTGTATCCCAGTGAAACTTTATCGATGGCTACTGAATTTGGAATTTTATATAATTTCTATGTATCATAAAATATATTCTTTTGATTTTTTAAACATTTAAAAATGTAACAAGAATCTTTTGCTCATACACTTTAGAAAAACAAAGTGCAGGTTTGTTTGGGCTAAGGCACAGTTGATTACCTACCCTACGATTGTCTATGAACTATCATTGGTGACTGAAATTTTAGTCACGAGGAAATATGATTTTATTTGCAGTCAAGAAAGGTCTCTTCCATGTGGCATTTCCTAAATAATGTTCCAGAGAACCATACTGGAAGTTGCTCTGGGCAAAAAGTTCCATGAACAAATACTGTTAGGAAATATTTTATGTCCCTTTTAGAGAGTTGCAAAGCACATCAGTGTATTAAAGGTTCTGAGAAGGGCTGCAGAGAATAACCATTTAACATTTTTGTTGCTTTAGTTAATATTCACTGTATTTACTTATTCAAACTTCTGGGGAACATGACTTAGGAAATACCGTTTTACTGGCAGTTATAATAAATGAAAAAGTGAGGTGAAGATCAATTAAATAGAAATCCACTGCCATGTTCATAAAAAAGCATTGAGGGAACAAAAAACATAGTCATGGTGGAATATAGGTACTTTATTATCAAGGAAACAGTTTATAGAGGAGAAAATGGGGTGATTTTGATTTTTTTGTTAAAATAAATTTTAAACACAGAAAAAGCAAATATATGCTTCTCAAACATGGTATATGAGGCTACATTTTAGAAAATGAAAAATAAAATGAAGAAAAAATAGATATTTGGGTATTTGAAATAGGAAGTGCAAATATCACATCTTGTGCTATCAAGACCAGTGGGGTAGAACCTCAAGCAAACTAACAATCGAAATATTATTTCAACATTCAAAAAATAAAATACTATGAGCGATGATTAAAAGAAAGCCAGAGGACTTAGTAAGGCTATTCCAGTTAGGGTTCTTCATTGCCAGTAACAGAGTCTGACTGGATAAGTTAAAGCTGAACCGAAACATGCTAGAGAGAGTTCACAGAGCCGCTAGGAAGGTCAGGAGCCTGGCCCAGAAACAAGCAGTGACTGCAGGCTCCATAAGCCACAGCCTGAGTCATCTTGTGAAGCTTACAGTGCTGTTACAGCCATAGCTACAGGGACCTAACTTCGTTTCCGCTGGGTCTCTGGATGGGCCTATCTTATAATAGCCTCTTACTACCACCAGTTCCACAGAGACCGATTTTCAACTTATCCTGTGTTTTCACATTCCTCCCTCAAAATTCAAGGACTTGGAGAGGAAGAGCCGATGTCTGATCGGTTGAGCTGCTTTCGTGTCTGTGTTCTGCATCTCAGAGTAGAGTGAGGGAAGATACTGCCTTTCCCTTAAACTTCCAAGGTAGGAGGTAAGACGATCTCACCATTATTTAACCAATTGAGAGTTCTTCACAAACAAGAAAAAAGTTTTTTGTTACCTTTCCTCAAAAGATAAATATCTACCCCAAAATGAAGAAGGGGAATTATCTATGAGCAATGTATATGAAATCTGAAGTATAATATCTTTATTATCGAATGGTCTAAATTTATTATTGGATTGCAGCATTTATTTAGAGGATAAACAACCTAACATAAAACATTAAACACCCAGTGTGAATGTGATTTGCTAAATGTGAGTCTTTGGGATGCAATAGAATTAGGGCAGCTTTTGTTCTATTGAATAGGGATCAGTGATGCTCCCAAATCCAATAATTAGAATAGTGACTATCTTAATGAGGATTTCAACAATTTTTTTGGAAAGAACCTAAGAGCTAAGAAATAACCAACTGCCACTTATTTTTCTATAAATCAAAAAATCTAATGATACACAAAAAGCCTTCTTATGTTCTGGGAATTGAGGTACTTTGGCAAAATACTGATGTTCATTGAGTTACTTTGCAATCATTTATGTGCCTTTTTCTTTTGGTCCAGATACTAGATAAGAATAAACTGTTAAAACACTTTACTGTCACTTCCCTGAAAACTTTAAGTTAATATTTTGTTTTTTTTTTTAATCTGGAAATTGGAGTTTAAATATAAACTATCAAAATTATTACCTTGAGACCATGATGTTAAGTGAAATAAAGTAGGCACACAACCTTAAGTATTGCATGGTTTCTCTTATATGAGAAACCCAAATTATAAATAAATTAAAAAGCAAAATAAAAGATAGATAATGGGAAAAAGTGAGACAGACCTTTTGCAAATGGGAAGGGGACCAAAAGAAGGGAGGTGAGGAAAGAGGACATAAGAAGAATTTTAGATGATATGTGTTAGGTACATATATCAACTCCCCACAATTAATCATTATACAGTGCAAGTAGGTACTAATAAAACTAAAAATTTAAACAATTGTTAACACAGAGGAATGAGAGAGAAAGTGATATGTGTGATGGAGCTCTTCCCTGCAGATTTATTTCAAAATGTAGTAAGTGTAATAATTCAAAATTTTGCCATTTTATTTTTGTCCCTTGAATGGCAACAGCCATCTGTTAGTTTCTGTTTGTTTCCAAACAAAGTTACAGAAAGGGAGACAACTGATACTTTAGAACGGAGAAGAAAACTAAGATTGCTTCAGAGAGGAGGTATAGGACATGCTGTGTGTTTTTGCCCACTTGTTCAACATAACAAGTTAGAAATATGTGAATCAGTTAATTTAGCACCTGTAGCATTTAGTTGCACTTCAGTACATGTTGGGGCATGAGAGGACAAGTGGCCAAGTGCTGACCCTGAGTTCTCATGAGACACAGGTGTCCTGAAGGTGATGTGCTGGAGCCAAGTTCCTCTTCTGTTCTTAATAACCCCCTAGTTTCTTCTTTGTTCTTGTTCCTAGTAAACACTCCCTTTTAGTCACAGCAGATGTTGTCTTATCGAGATGTCCCATCTTTACTTTGCACAGTGTGTATCTGCTCGTGCTTCCTTGTGATTGCTGTTAATCATCAACCACTATGATCATGCTTCCTTTTGTGGCCTAGAAATTTTCTGTAAAGACTCTGGGTAAGAAATAAAGATCACCATTAGCCATCAGCTTCTGGTCAGTCTCATTGTGTCTGTGGTCAATTCCTGGAGACCCCTCCTTGTGAAGGAGACCCCAACAAGTACAGAACCATTACCCTGGCTCATCAAACTGCTGGTGAACACACACATCTGTTTTCCACCTCATGTCTAATGCACAACTCTTTTACTACCTAGAAACTTTATGGAACAGGCAGTATAAGTAATTTTTATGAGAGTGCATTGGATATGCCTAAGTTACTTTTAGGATCTGTTACAACCAAATGCTCAGTTGACTCTTTAACTCATCTACTGAAATATTTGCTACAGCACTGGGAAAAGCATATAAGTCTGCTAAAACTTCCAGGGGACTTTATGGCATCTCGTAACAAATGAGCTAAAGAAAAATCACAGAAGTTTGTGAAAAATGTATTTTCATTAAGAAATCTTACTTTATTATTTTTTTCATTAAGTTTATTGGTACTTTTTAGGTATACAGCACAGTTACATTCATCATTGGGATCTTGTACGTTTACATGATGTATCTTGGTTCTTATTTTTAGTCCATACCCCTGCCCTCCCTTCATCTCCTCTACCTTTCCCTATTTACAAAGACTTTGTTTACATTTTTTTCCTTTTCTCATATTTTTTCTTTTTCCTTCTTTCCTTTCCTCTACCCTTCCAACTTCCTCTACTCCTTTAGACTTTTTCTTCCTATTTCACATATCATTTATACAATTTGAACCTTACTTACACTTTCAGGTTTTCACACCAGAGAAGCTATTTGGTATTTACACATGTGTGTCCTATTTGTTTCACTTAAGAGTCTGACCTCAATGTGCATCCATTTAGCTATAAATGTCTCTAGTTTCTTGTTCTTTATGGTTGAGTAATACTCAATTTTATAGAAAAACCACATCTTCTTTATCCAGTCTCCAGTTGATGGGCATTTGAGCTGTTTCCTAGTTTTAGCTATTACAAACTGTGTCACTATAAATGTAGGTGTGCATATATAACTGTGCTATGATTCTTTTAATTCTTTTGGAAAGATACCCAGCAGAGGGATAGCTGGGTCAAATGGGACATTTAATCCTATTTTTTTTTTTTTTTTTTTTTTTTAGGTATCTCCATATTGATTTCCACAGTGGTTGCACCAGTCTGTACTCCTACCACTGATAGAAAAAGGTTCTTTTCTCCCTACAACCCTACCAGTGTTTGTTACTGGTTGATTTCTTAGTAGCAGCCATTCTTTCTGGGGAGGTGGAATCTCAGTGTTTTCATCTACATCTCTCGAATTACCAGTGATGTTGAACATTTTGTCATATATTTACTTGTTGCCTTGTTTGTCTGAAAAAATAGATGTCCTACTTTAGCTACACAGATGATAAATTGATAATAGTTTTAGCTATCATTATACATATTCTTAGGGTAAATTTTTAAATGACAAAAACATTTATGAAGCACCTAGTTATTTTTAGGGTATGTTTCTGGGTATAGATAGATCACTATGAATTAGAAGATACAGACCTTGTTTTAAAAAATGATTTAAAGGAGAAGATAGGGTGCTCACAAGATAAGCAATCTAGTCCTAACTCCAGGCTGGGGGAATAGAAACAAGGAATGACTGCTTCTCTCCCTCACTCTCTCTCTTCTCTCCCTCCCTCTCCTCCTCACCTCTTGACCTCCTTGTCTTATTGGTGCTTGGCTCTGGCATGATGCCTCTTGACCCATCTCTTGGTTGCTGAACCATTCTAATTTCTCATAGTTCTCTCTTTCTCCCATCCCTGATTCTCTTTGCTATTTCTATTTCCTAAGCTTTAGAGAAGCAATCAGGACATAATAAGCAGAGAGTGACAAAAGTTCTGGAATTTTGCAAAAATTTTACAATTTTTTTTTTATAAAAGAGTAACCAGAACTCTTATTGTCTACTTTGCATTATTTCTGAGTATTGCAAAATAAGTGGATAATTCTCACTTCCTTTCTCCTAATTTATATTATATACCATTCAGTATTTGTGTAGGAGAGGAAAGACTTCCTTTGAACATAGAATTTCTCCAGATTGTTGGGTATCTTTGCACATAAGGGCTGGTCTTTCTTTCTGAAGACTATGTAACTTCTCTTCCTATCCTTCCTAGAGAATTGACAACTTTGAGAATTTCCCCACAGAACCTTATTGCCACAGCATGTTACCATAGTACAGTCCTTTTGTCTTATTCAACAGACTTGGCTCAGAGTGTCTCGTTTGCTCTCAAAAATCAAATCTTCCTTTAAAGAGGAGAATTTCACTGCAGAAATATAAATCAAACATTTTGGGGTGGCAGAGACACTGGAAAAAATGCAGCCCAGTAATCTGAGTAGTGGGAGGAATGCAACCCCCAGCACACCCTCCACGTGTTGTCCAGCCAAAAAGTGACTCTCGAAGTGGCAGGGCCTGGAATGTTCTCCCGTAAAGGTGACAACTATATAAATTACAATGAACTCTGTTTTGCTGTTAATCTATTACTTTATTATATAAAAGGAGTGAAGACATTTTAAAAACTACATTTAGTTTTTGTGCCAAGTGTCTAACTTGGATAGATAAACCTGCCTATACTGGGGTGGGGTAACTCAGAGAGATGGGCAGATGCTTGTCTGGGTGGATGATAACCCTCCAGCCACAGGCTCCTATGCTGGGTTCCAAGGTGACTAATATACTCCAGGGCAATTAATTCTCCCTAGAGCAACGTGAAAAAATTAGTTTTGGAACAATAATTTCAAATTTAGTGCAGTGTTAGTTTGTTTCAATTTATCTGCTCCATCTTGAAAAAAGTTGAAGAGTTTGACTTTGGTTATTATATGATTTTTCAGAATGAATCCCTTAACAAACGTATAAATAAAAGAACTGGTCTATTCTGTTATATAAATCATACTACTATCATTATTTTGTGGCACTGAAGTAGAAACCAGGTTACTTGCTTTAAGAAGATCTATATTTTATCCTTAACTATCATATAAATTGGGCCACTCTCATATATTTTTGAAAGGAGATGTAATATGAATAACTAATTAATATAATTTTTCTATTTGCCTAGAGGGTTAATTTCATCATTTTGAAACTGAATTTTATCATTTACAGGGAGGAACAATAATAACTATTCCATCTCTTGGAGTTGTTTTAAGAATGCACGGATGTAACCGATGCTGCAGAAACTATAGTATACAAACTATGGGGTATTGTGGTAATCATAGTTTTGTTTTTGTTGAATCTTTCTCAGGAAAACACCTTGAGATGGAGATTTACATGCAGAGTTTAGAGTGGAACGTTCTGAACAGGTCTGGTAAGAGGAACAAAGAGACGAAGACTGAACAGAGGAGGAAACTGATCAGGGAAGCAGTTTCAACAAAGACTCCAGCCAATCACAGGGGACACAGTGGCACTGTGGAACTGTCTTGAAATGAGGTAGGAGCCAGACCTTTATGCCCCTGAACCAGCTAGCCAGTAGATGTGGGTTGCCTTTGCTGGGCTGGGGCAATGTTACATGAGGCAGTTTCTAAGAAAGTCCTAGAGGAAGGCTCAGCGGCAAACCCTCAACTATTGCCAGTAAATATTACCCGAAAAATGAATGGCTCAGTCCTGGAGGGAGACTCTTGATGGTGTACCCTTCCATCCCACACAGTGCATTGCTCAAATTCACTTGACTTGTATAGATTCTTTTCATCTGAGAACTGCTCCTCCAGACTTCTAGTTGGTCTCTTTTACAATGGAACTTTACAAAAGGAAATTTAGTGAATGTATTATGGTCCCTGTGATAGCTGGCCTCAGGACTATGGTCCACTCCTAAATCACACTTTCTATTATTTATTCTAGATTCTTTATAGTTTCAGTTAATACCTCTATTGATTTTTTTGTGTGGAATAACCCAGACTATCCTTGGGGGTGTTTTTCTCAGTGTGTAGCTACTTCACTTTCCTATTTTAGTCAGGTTGGGCAAATGAGCACTAACAGGCCTCCCAGTAGATTATCCGGATACTAAATGTATTCTTTCTGGCTTCTATTTTGTAAATTCAGCCTTGATAATCATACTAAATTACACTTTCTTAGATGGTGACTTATTTCCTTGCCTATTGGTGCCAAAATTGTACAAAAACCCCAAATGACTAGGCAACAGGTATGTCTTAAAATTTCATGGAACTCTTCCTGTGTCCCCTGGTAGATGCAAACTATAGATCTATAGATGCTAATGCTGCAGGCATGAGAAGCACAATTCTCCCAAGCAATCCCTGTGAATGCTGGCAAGTAGAGACACTTCTGTTTCCATTCTATCTCCTGAACTCTGTATTCCAAGAGTTGGGGGTGAGGTAAGGCACCATAATGGTCATTGATATATTGTGTGTTTTGTATGGCAAATGATACAGTTTGTCTCATAGGATATCATCTAGTTAGTATCAAAGATAGTCCTAAAAATGTTCTTCAGTTCTATTTTCAGCAAGCTGTTTCTGTGTTTCACAATATATGATGGGGCTAGCAGATCTCTTGACCACATTCTTACTCCCACCCCCCACCATGATGCGTTTCTCCTCAATTTGAGGTGGTTTGTGGTATTCTATGCCAGTGGTTTTGTGGTGTATCTATGCCAGATACTCTTTAGGTTGGTGGTGGTGTCTAAGTCTCTGTAAGCAGGAAAGATAAAAACCAACTTGGTGTATGAGTTAGTTGCATTCAAGATGAATTGTTGCCCAAACTGATATAATCAATTTGCCATCAAGTAAACAGTTGCTCAGTCTACTCAAAGCATGGTGACATACTGGGTACTCAGAGTTGGTATCTGATCTGTATAGATTGGACAATGGTAGTGGCAACTAGATCAGACCTGATGAGTGGAAGTACATGCTGTTGGATTAATATGTGATCTCTGTCCCTGTAGCCATAGCGACTTTTCATGACCCTGCTGTACCTGTGCTACATGGTAATGAAAGAGATGACCATTTGCAGCTGGCTGCTTCATTTCGTATATTTGGCAGTTTAGTGCCTTTATTTGTGGTTTGTAGTCACTGTTATATGTTAACATGTGATACAAATATCTTCACACTTCATGCCACTTTCATATGTCTTTATTTTTCTGTTTCTATTACCTAATTTCTATACTAGCCAAGCCATTTGCCAGTGTTATGAAATTCTCTATATTCTGATCCAAGGCAACTTCTTCCACACAAAATAAACATATGCACTGCTTACTGCTTTGTACATCTCTGCTATCTTCTCCTTCTGAGTTGGAGCTGTTTTGCAGCAGCGGTCTATATTAAGCCTGAACCTTACAGTTGAGCCAATACATTCATGAGGCAGTGTCTGCCTTTTACTTTGTACCTGGCTTTTTATGAAGACTTCAGCTCTAGGTGGCCACAGTGGCAGAGAACATGGGGGGCGGTGTCCTATATATCTGCATGTTCCCTTACTTGTACTCTTTATTCCATGTTATTCCATTATAATATGGATTACTGGGAACTATCTAACTTATTGGTACTATCTAACCTGATGAGTGGTTGGCACAACCTAGATCATGATGGGTGGTTCTGGCTGTGTGATCATTTAATATCCTGTGGTCAGATAACTTTATTCTTACAAAGGCATGCCCTAAGTCCAGAACATCCAAGGTCTATGATGTGACTATCCTATTAACCTTTGCCATAAACTTAATGGGCATTTTTTCCTATCACAGATACCTCCATGACCATAAGTTTACAGGTGTTATTGCATAAGCAACAGAACATGTTGAAGTCTGTATGTGATGCAGAGATAACTCCTAAAATGAGAAGTTTTTTGTATCTTTTGGTAAACTGGTCAGTAGAGGATTCCAAGATATGAATATGGTACCTGCGGAACCTAGTGAAGCCTGCCAGGCAGAAGATAGAGAAATTTGTCTTTTGCTTTAGAGAGAATGTTCTAGAGTAATTCAACTACAGAATCCCAAAACTTTCACAGATGTGGTAGGTTCCTGAAACTTCATAGGTTTTATAAATACTTTTATCTTACCAAGGTTTCTGATACACTCACTACTTTTGCTCATCAGGTTCAATGGACATGATGTCGTTAACTAGTGGATCAGTTTGATTTACGGGGAATCTTCACATGATCCAGGTCCTTCCACACTATGTTATGATAGAGGAAGGGCAGAATTAGATAGACTTGAGGCAGAACCTGAACTGCTTCTTCCAACAGATGCTCCTCTTTGATAGAGATCAGTGACTGCTTATTATGGCTGTATTGATCTGTTCTAGCAAATAGACAACATCTGGCACAACAGATATCACCAAGATATCACATAATTGGTTGGGGTGTTAGAAGTACACTCTCATCTTCCAGGACATGTTTTTTTTTTTTCTGCCAGACTGGTAAATTAAATAGAGATGTAAGAGAATGTAATACAGATATAATTCACCTTCATGTCCTTTATACTTTTAAGGGTAGCACTAATCTATGTCATTCCCTTTAGAATGTGATACTATTTTTGTTTCACTATCTTGGCCAGTCACCATTTCCACCATGATGGATCTTAAGCTACAGGTCATTATAGCTATTGTTTCAACTACCGAGGGACAGGTGTATTTATTGTGATTATAACTGTGAGATACTGGAATATGGCATTGGGTGCCATGCATGGCTAAAGGGTGGAATGAGAAATGATAGTGAGAGATTAAGAAACTTAATGATAAGACAAAGAAGACAATGATGATAGTAAGGTTTATAGAATGGAGGCCAGGTGGAAACTCTTTGTCCTGATGAGACAAAATGCTTGGCTTGTATCCTCAGCACCTTTATTTACAGTGTAGATAAGGGAAATGGAAAAGGTATGCCTGATTGGAAAGGGGAGAATGGCTAGGGTCTGCAGGAAACAATGTTTGATGTTTTTCTGGTGAATGGGTAGGAAGGAAGACAGCCCTCTTCTTGGCCAGGCCTTACTCCACCACACCCCTTGTCACCTGTTCTCCTCCTGGGGGCCCTCATAGCTGGGGGAGGCAAACTAGGCCTGGCCACAGTGATCTACAGCACAGCACTTCCAGCAATTGGGTGGACCTGTGGATCCAGTAGAACCACTCTAAACCAGACCTGGGCCAGTATACCATAGCTTCTCCTCAGCACCTGCTATTTATCGAGTCTTTTTAGCTCAGGGACAATTGTCTTCCTCACTGCTATCAAGAAGCCCAGATCTGTCATATCATTGCCATGCAGTGGCTCTGACCTACAGAGAATGGAGGTCCTCAGTAACAGTGACACCCAGCATATTCTCGATTGACTTGGTGAGTAGAATGTCTTTCAAATCATCTTGCAGGAACATAAGGTGAATTTTAAAAAATTCTATCATATATTCACACTGGCCTATCCACTTTGAGCCTTTATATATTGTCTTGCATTGGTTATGGATTAACCTCAGCCTATGTTCTCTACCGTAGCAGCTCTAGGGATTCTATATCGCATAGCATGGATGGTAACTGTATTCTGCTTTCCAGTACCATATTGGCAAGGCGAGGGTACCATCAGATGGGGTCTGTGTCAGGATGTTAAGTTCTGTATCATGGGAGAGTGCTCTGTGACTGAGCTCCGTTATACAATTTTATGTTCTTTTCTCAATCTAAAATATCCATCCCCAGATAAATATTTCGGTCTCCTGCTGCTGCATTTTGACTGGATTCTGCAACTTCATCATATAGTCCCTTTTCTTTTTTAGCAGGCCCATTTAGCATAGGCTGCTATATTACCCTCAGGCAAGAGGAAGCATTAGCCGTTAATAGGAAGAATGGGGTAGTTTTGCAAGTTCATTTGTTTCAGAAGAATCTGGGCTTAAAATGGCTATCATCAAGAAATTAAATAATAACAAATGCTGGCAAAACTGCAGGGAAAAAGGAGCCCCTCTGCATTTTTTGGTTGGAATGTCAACTACCTACCACCACTATAGAAATTAGTATGGAGAGTCCTAGAAATTCCATTTGACCTAGCTATACCCCTTCTTGGTAACTTCCTAAAAGAATTAAAGCTATCATATTACAATGATACAGGGAGACCTATGTTTAAAGCAGCATGATTCATGAGAGTTAGATCTTGGAAGTGGCCTATATATCAACAGATGAATGGATAAAGAAAATGTGGTATTCGTACACAATGGAGTACTACTCCATAAAGAAGGGTAAACCTGAGTCATTTGTAGGAAAATGGATGCACCTTGAGACCATAATGTTAAGTGAATGAAATAAATCAGACACACAAGTTTAAATATCCCATGGTTCTCCTATATGAAAACCCAAAACATAAACAAAGAGCAAAATAAAATAACAGATATCAAGAAGTAGGGAGACAGCTCTTTCAGGTATGTGAAGGGGATTAAGAGAGGAAGGAATTGAAAAAAGAATTTAGAGGTGTTATGGACATGTACCAACTTCCCATAAGGAATGTAATCATTATGTATT